ACGGGCAGCGCGGGGCTGCGGGGGACAGCGATTGGGGGTGGGGGGTGCAGCAAGCACGGTCCTGTGCAGAGCTGGACAAGGGGTTAAGTCACATAGAATCATAGACCGCGTTGGGTTGTGAAGGGACGCTTAGAGGTCATCTAGTCCAACTCCTCCCTGCAGCGAGCAGGGACATCTTTCACTAGATCACATGGCTCTGAGTCCGTCCAGCCTGGCCTTGAATGTTTCCAGGGATGTGGCATCTACCACCTCTCTGGAAAACTTGTTCCAGTGTTTCACCACCGTCATTATAGAAAATATCTTCCTGGTAGCTAGTCTAAATCTACCCTGTTTTAGTTGAAAACCATTAGTGCTTGCCCTGTCACAACATGCCCTGCTAAAAACAGTGTCTCCATCTTTGCTACAGGCCCCCTTTAGGTACTGAAAGGCCACAATAAGGTCTCTCTGGAGCCTTCTCCAGGCTGAACATCTCCAGCTCTCCAGCCTTTCTTCATAGGAGAGGTGTTCCAACCTTCTGATTGTTTTTGTGGCTCTCCTCTAGACCCACTCCAACAGGTCCAGGTATTTCTTGCGCTGAGGACTCCAGAGCTGGACAGGGTACTCCAGGAGGGGTCTCACCAGAGTGGAATAAAGGGGCAGAATCTCCTTCAGCCTGCTGGCCACACTGGTTTAGATGCAGCCAGGATACAGTTGGCCTTCTGGGCTAACCTACATGCTGTAGTCATCTCCTGATGATTGACATGTGTTCTTGCCTGTTAACTGTTGTGTCCACATACCTTGTGTGCATTTTCAGCATTTCTGTGAGGCTGGGAGCCTATAGCAGTAACACGATTGCTTTGCAGTGTGCCTGATGTTGCAAGGTTTAGTTCTGTGGAAATTCAGGAAAAGTGAAGAAGTGACTGCAAAAAAGAGCTGTGTAGCTCAGAGGGGGTCATGTCAGTATGGCAGGAAGAAAGAGGTGACTGCAATAGAGGTAGGAGCTGAATGAAGAGGAGTTGGCAGCAGTGGCTGGTGAGCAGGGCGGAGGACAGGCAGCACCATGAAAGAAAAGTGATAGGAAGTCTGAATGTCCTCTGAAGCAAGGAGGTGACAGCCAGGGTCAGAACGGTGGGCCAGGGAAGCCCCTTAGCCTGAGTTAATGATCTCAGCCTATTCCCCCCACATTTGCTGCTCTTTT